TTCAAATAGCTGCAATTATGGCAAAATCATATTCAAATTGCTCAAAATTTTCCTTTAGCAAAAACAAGACGAGAAAAATAGGCAATGTTCTTAGGGTTAAAATATAAAACGGCACACAAAATTTGTTAAGCTATATCTTTAATGCCCGAAGATGTTGCAGACTGGAAGACTTAGCTTGTGTCCAGTAAAACGTCCGAACTTGTACTTCCAATGTGGCCATTCAGAAATAGGTAAAATAGGTGGATGTGAATTATTTGTGGCACTGCTTTTATTTGTCAAATGATTTCACCCACAAATTTCGAAGCTATACGGAAATAGGAAAAATATTTGTGCTTGAGGAGCCTTTGGAGACCTAAGACTGAAGTAGGCGAATAATCAAACAACAACATTTTTATCACAAATATTTTATCCGAAAAATTGAAAATTTAGAAAAGCAATCCCTAGCATAGTGTCATTTATTCTTCCATTTCTGCCGGTCCTTTAAGCCTCATTCTCCAGTACGAAACTATTTTACAAGATTTTCTCTCTTTGCCTGTGTTATAAAACACTTGCCAAAGATTCTTTGTTTAAAGAGCCACTTTAGCGATGAATCTACTCTCCACATTAGCACCATATTCCAAAAGCACATTTGTTTTAACGTAATTCTATGATTGCAATGGCTAAAGAATTACATTTGGTCAACAAGCGGCATTGACTGCACTCGATGCTTTTGTGATCACTGTTGAGTCGAATGAAGGAGGTTGAGGTGAAGGCTCTGCGTTTGACCGCGAGGGAGGCGCTGTCTTGGGAATAGGAGTAGTGCGAGCCGGACTTGGCAAGCACCTGCCTTGCCGCTGTCCGTGCTGTTTGCAGGTCAGCCAGTGTAGTGCGAGCCACGTACATGGCACCGAAGAGACGCAGATTTCCCTGACTTGTCACAGTGCCCGGAAATCCAACTATTCGTGCCGCCTGTCGAATGAATCATTTTACATGCAATGCGGGCTTTTGGCATTTAGCACTGCTTCGTTGCAAAAATGCTCTGTATTTTTTCCAACGGTTTTATCTCTGCTTATTGAAGAAATGTACTTTAGATTTCTTGGAATTCTGCATCTATTTTACGTATATTTATACTTTCAAGAGAAGTTCAAATTCCCTTGTTTATCGGAATTAGCTTTCTCTTAATCGTTATTCGGGTTATTAGGAGGGTTTTAGGTAGGTTTTGGAAAGTCCAAGCCCAAAATATATCACATCTAACTTTGATTTACAGTGTATAGTCAGTACTTGATTTGTCCTTTAGTGAATTGACCTGTCAGCAAAAACGCCTTTTCCAGCACACAGTTCTTAAATTTGTTGAGATTCCTCTTGGCATGCAGCAGTATTTTTTCCACCTTATTTGAAGTGCTTGTAGTAATTACTTCTCCTCTAATTAGTGTTGTAAGCACAACCCCTTGGGATACGGAGTGGCAATAATTACGAATCACAAACTCAAAAACTGACCACCTACCATTGACCTTCTGTTGTTAAAACGCAACAAGTCAATCACTTATGAAATTTTCCTTTTTTTCTGCTACGTTATTCCTAGTCCTCTGCTTAGCAAAGGAGCATTAAAAAGCTGTTTTCAGAACCCGTCTCTACTTTATCGTACAAAAATTGACCTGCCTAGGTACAGTTGTGTTGAAAATCATCTCACGCTTCGTTTAAGCTGTATGGGTAGGGATCATGCCTTGTTGTTTTGAAGTGTTTGGTAGTTAATTAAATTCATAGAAGCTTGTTTATTTAACAGAAAAAATAGTGTAAGCTAAATGAAGGCGATGGCTTTGAAAGACCGCAATCTTTTTATATCCTGGGTATGCCCGTATTTATGTTAGACGATAAGTTTTAAATTAGCTTTTGAAACAGCTTATAATTGTGAGATTGTGGTTAAATGGTCTCAATTACTGCATTTCCAGCCAGCTTGTAGCAGCAGATTTCAAGCTAATGCTTTCTTCTCAACAACTGGCTTTAGAATAGCCAATATCAAAAGGCAACAAAAACCACACATAAGATTTAAAAGGACTACCATTACGCATGTTTCATTTATTCTTTTCCAACAAGGTTAAATCAGAGTACTTTTAGGCATTTGTTGACTTTATTCTAAACCTGTCCCGCTCTGAAAACTGTAATGTGATATGCGCTGGATCTTCTTCCTTCCTTATTTCTACTATCTCCTTGGGCAGTGGTCTACTAGAAAGATAAGAGAAATCCTAAGTAGGTACGCCCGAAACTTTAAGGCGGTTATTTTGCAAAGGTCTGTCTGAAAATTTAATCACCGTTATATAAGTGGATGTTTAAAAGTGCTCCTTACATTAGCACCCGCATATATCCAAATAATTTATGTCGTAAGCCGTCCCACTTAAAAGTGTATTCTATATAATTTTGCTTTTAAAAAAAATGCCTTATCGAATAATTACCAGGATATCTCAAAGCTTCATTTTATAGAGTTCAAAAAATGGGGGAGATTTTTACTTTTTACGCGAAGTATACTTAAGTTTTTGTAACTAAAAGGAAGTATTTGTGTAAATCTGGAGACAACTAAGCACTTAGAACGTCATTTTCCATTTGCGGAAGTAATTTTTTACCATCATGGGCATCCCACGATTAATCCTTTGTGACCGCGATACACGCCTTCACAGTGTCTTTTACCCCAAACCACTCTCCTGCGCCGATAGGAAAACAACGTTTGTGAGTTTGTGCATTCAAAAATGCGACAAGTAAGCAGTTGCGTTTTGACGAGACGTGAAAGTCAGGGTTTGATTAAAGTTAAGCTCTTTGTTCAGCCAGACAATTTATTTGTTATAAACTTGTTGCTTAACAGTGGAACCTCAGTTTCGGGCATTCAATTGTAGTTGTATGTTCATTTATGGATAAGGTTGGAATTAGGCAAAATTCTTTTACCTTCATATTGACGAAAACATATAAATAAAAGACACGTAAATTGCACGGATGCTAAACAGAATTCGTCAAAGAGAGATCTTGTCTTTTAATGGCTTTTAAACCTGGTTACGTTATGGTATTTTATCCAAATTGAGTACACACGTAAAATTCTCTCCAGGACTTACTTTTAGTTTTAGTCCTTGATTTTTTTTGTGGTTGTTTTTAAAGATATTCAACCAAACTTTTCTACTTTACAAAGCCATGTAATTAACAAATTTATTTCAAACAAAAGCAATAAATTTTTCTAGCTGGTTGAGTTAAAGCAAATGTCAACCTGTAGAACTCAGCTCGATATGCACGACAAATGTATTCTGAAATTTTTTATATATAAGCTAAATTTCATGAATCACAATGTATATGTGACATCATTAAAAATGGCTACTCAAAAAGTTTACTTTTTGCAATCTTTTCTGAATTTAATAACAAAAGTAAGGATTTCTTGAAAATACCTTGCTTTAATCATATAATACTGCTTTAAAGTCTGTCGCAGCTCAAAGATTTTATTATAGCATTACCCTTTTAAAATATGGACTCCTCCCAGTGCCGGTTTATTGTCCTAGAGTTGGTATCTTACCTGGAGATGCAAACCTTCGAATTTAAAAAGGGTAAAGGACCATTAAGGGCACTCCTGCTCCTAAATGTTTGAAATGATCAGTAACTGGTTTGTATACATTGTATTAAGAGCTGATAAGATTAATTAATTAGGAGGCGTGGATAATATCTGTTAGCTTAGGTTTAAAAGGACTGGAACAGTTTACTAATTTTAAAACGGTACTTTTCTTTCCACTTCTTGGTACAAGCTTGACCCATATTTAAAAACAAGTAACATTTTGAGGGTTATATGAAGTTAAGAAGGCGTAAGTCTTGATATGAACAAAACACCACCACAGGTGCCTTTGTTGTCGCAAAAGTAGTTGCAAACATGCTGACTGGAAGTCGGCAGATTGCCTTAGAGCAGTTGTACGCCCGTAGTGTACGCTTTTACTGGAGTGTAGAAGTCAGGTAAATAATATTTTGAGCTGTTTTATTGGTAATTGTTAAAGGAGATAACTTAAATAAGTATTGCTTTCTAGTGCATAATCATTATTAAAAGGTATTTCTTTACTAAACTTTTCCAGATAAATATCATAATTCTTGAAAATGCGAAAGTAAAATAAAGAAAAGCAATATTTCTGGCGTTCCTTTCTCGTTCTTGTCATTATTCCTTAGATTCCTTCAGGCTTTTACAAAAAGGCTCTTCCAAATTTTTCTTATGCCATCATTTTAATGCACAGACAGCGTTTTAGCAACAAGCTTTTGCTTGGTTTAGAAAATGGTCTGCTGTGTGACAATAGTCACGTCAGTCATGTGGCCAAGACTTACAATCTACTTATTATAGAAACCTTGTATTCATGTTCCCGTTTAACCTTCAGTAAACATCTGGGATCTAAGTTAGTATTCAAGACAAAGAGTAATTTTCAATATCCCTCAAAACCGATTGCAGGTTCGTTTTATTGTTGTAAGTTGGTTGTTTAACTCTTGGTTTTGGTAAAGGGGCCACGTAAATGCCCCATCACTGTACCCTAGCCGAGTGGGGTGACCTTTTGCACCATGCCAGTAGCTTCAAGCCCTGCTGGAAGTCTAGTGGTACTATACTAGTAGTAGCAAATAGCAAGCGCGGTCTTAAAGGGCAGATATTCCGATTTATACCGCTGAGTGATAAAATTTGGCGGGATGGAAGAAGTGCATATGCTACGGATGGGCTGACTGTAAGTGAGGTCTAACTTTGGCAACTGTCCCGGATGCCTGGTCTGGATGAAAACTATTAACAGATTAGGCAACACTAGCCGTAAGCTATCCAAAATACTTTTGTAATTGAGCTATCTACCGCACCTCTGTAAAATATTAAAAATATGAACTCGCGATGAATCTGACTTTTTTACATATAAATACAATCTGGATGGATGTGGCTGGTCAGCGCCAGAGTGATAACAAATTGGCAAGGAAAAAAGGGGATAGAAGTTTTACCCATGTAACTACGTTAAATTCTGCCCTTTGTTACATAACTCTGCTTTAGGGCCAATGTTCCTGCACCTAGCTATGGACACGCGTGGTGGCCAGTATATTATATTGCCGCCGGATACAGTTCCCACACAGGATGAAGCTCCATATTTAGTAGAATTGCCAAGAGGGATCAGTAAAGTTGCGGTTAAGTATCCTCTCAGATGCACGCAAATTTGATGACTGGTGCGGTCAGTTCTTGGGAATTTTTCTTACAGCATTGATTACGTTGTGATGACTGGCGCGGGATGTTGGCCAAGAGGAGTGCTGAGGACTACGCTCAGTAGAGGCGAAGGACTATGCAAGAGCCTAAGTGTTTGGTTAATTCTTAGTTTTGTTAAAGAGGCCATGTAGGCGCCCCACTATTGTACCATATCCGGATGGCCTAGTATCCAGGTCATGTCAGCGGCTCCACGCCCTGTTGCGTGTGAGTAGATAGATTCTGCCTGAGTATCATGTCTTTTTTTCGCCCTCAGAAAAATTTTAGGGAACGGTAATACTTATTATCTATGTATGTGCTTTGATATTATTAACTACTGTACTAACAAATGTAATCGAAAGCCAAATAATATGCATTCTATTCTTTTGGTTGAAGCCAGATTTTTAAGAGGATAAGGCTACTAAACCGAAGTATGCTTTTACTTACCATCTCCAAAAATGTAAATATATTTACCATTATTTAATAGTCTCTAGCCGATTTCCAAAGAACCCAGATCCATTGCATGTGTGTAGTTACTGTACTTCCCACACTTTATACATTAGAAGTCAAGGTAAATCAGTGTAGTGAAAAGATTTGTCATAGTAAATTTGGTAAGATTTGAAGACCATAGTACATAACATTGTGATATTTTTTAAAATAAATAAACTTGAAGCCAAGGAAATGCCTAATATCTACACATTAGGTAAATCTGCTTCGAATCAAAGCCTAACATATGCATTAGAAAATGACTTGCAACCTTAAAGTAGTTTCATTCCATAAATAGCACCTCCAGTGCAACAGTACAATTCATTTTTTGATAAATTTTGGTGTTATTTGTGCACACAGGCAGTAAAACAAGGTAGCCTGGGATCAACAAACAATGAAGCAGTCAGAATGAACATGATGGCATTGTTTAAACAGGCTGTAAAAATGCGCGGCTGCTTAGCAGCATGTGTAAACAAAGGATGCAAGAGGTTTTGTCGCAGCAAGCTAACCTATGTTTGGTAAGTCTCGCCTATCTGCTGAAAAAAAAAAAAAACATTTGAGCTTTGTAGGTCTCTTTTCAAGTAATAAGTTAAGCTGAAGGTATTGTAAAATTCTTTAGATGAAAAAGTGACCTTGTCTAATAAGCACTTGACAACACTTCAAAAATTGGAGAAAAGGATAAGTTTGCGGGTTTTTATTATTGCAAAACATTAATTTTATGACAATTTGTCTGTGTTGACGTTATTCACCACAAATATGAAATCAAGCACTACCGTGGCAAATATCAACACGAGATAAAAGAACCGTTTTTAGTGCTTTTGACTTATTTTTGAGTGTAAAATCGGCATCTCGCAAAGTGTTTCAAGGCTCATTTGCGTACATGTAAAAAACCTTCTTAAGTTCTCAAGCTTTCTCTAATCAATGAGCCTTAAAATCCTGTGAGCCCTTGAAGATATCACTAATGTTGGTTGTAAAAGTGGAAGTAACAAATCCTCTAAAATGATGCTGTAATTTTATAAAATTTTTAGCAAAGTCACCAGGCAAAATCACAATTTCTTTCCAACAGTTATTTTAAACGAGATTAAGTCTCAGTCAAAATGCCTAAATAAGATGATAAAGCCATCCACCAATGAAAAATGTTCAAAAATAGAAGTTTATGAAAAATGCTGAATTTTAAAGGCTTGCTCACATTGTGCACTCAGATTTTGTAAGAAATTGTTTTATACTTTAATCTACAAGCATGTTTTCACTAAATTATTCTTAAAAATAGGAGTACACAATTTTCCTCTGGTTTTAAATTAAAAAAGCCAACGGTACTACAGAACTAAATTTATTTCAATTAGTAACTATAAATCATAAAATATTCAACTTTTTTGAAGTAAATCATCATGGTCAGAAGCGTTTCTTGTAATTGATACGCACCTTCACCTCAAGCATATTCCCTTGAAAAAATTACTAAAATATACATTAATTTGCCTATCTCTTTTGAAATATCTCATTAAGTTCATTGAATTTTTACTTAAATTCGGAAACTGTTGACATCATTGCAATGTGTAAGTTGTTTGTTCAACCCTCGGTTCTGGCCACAGGCCACTTAGGTGTTCCGCCATTGTACCCTCGCCGGGTTGACTAGCCTCCGGGCCATTGTTGTAGCCCCAGGCTCTACTTTATTTCAGTTATGTATGTATTTTGCTCTGGTATTACGTCTTCTTTCGCCTTCAGGAGAATCTTGCTGCACTATATATGATCCCCAGAAAAAAACAGTATTTTAATTATTCACATTATTTTTAAACCGACATTCGTCATTTGCTAGGCCTCCTCATTAAAATTAATTCATTCCTGTCACCAACAAACATTGTTAAAGCTTATTTTTGTAGTCAGTGCTTCTACTGCTTTTACTGATTAAAAGCTACATCAGCGTTTGTAGTGGTGTCAGGGCTAGTAATAGAGCTCAAACACTTCAGTGTAGGCCAAACTGAAAAGGCGTTGACATTTCAGGTCAACAGTGACTGCTTTCCCACACCCCTGAAGAGCTTATACCTCACTGAAGTATCCACTGGCATTTGCCCAAGTGTTCCTGTGTGGAATCATTTGGGGCTATGAAGGATGCACTGAGTTTGCATATTTTTATTTAATCCGGGAATCGGAAGTGCACAAAAAATTAGGTGGGAAAACTCCAAAGTTTAGTTATAAATGTGGTAAAATTGAAGGCCGGATTTATTTAAAATTTAATGATACTGACTAGCCAATTTACTATCAGTACTAAGCCCATAGCTTTAAAATGACCGTTTCTTATGTTTACCTTACTAAATAACACTGTCAGTGTCAAGAAGCATCTTCTACTACTAAAGAACAGTTTTTTGTAGTTAGGATGCGGTAAATAGGCTTTTGTGATTTCGGCATTCCATATCTTGTCTGACTAAAATTTTGTGAAAACAGAGTGTAATTCTGTGTTCAAGGTTAAATGTATTTCTCCTAAATTTGTAACAGATTTTGTCGTAGACTAAAACATTATTACAATCACAATCACAAATTTACAAGTGAAAAGCGTCGACATTGTGGCACTAACCTCAAGCATTAGCTGAACATCGTTGGGCAGGTTTTTCAACACTGCCACAGCCGCCCTCCACACTCCACACTCTGGTGCACCAGCCTGTTCCGTGATTTTGAGTGCTTCGGTCATCGGAAGTTGGTAGCGCGTAACTCGTTGAATAGGTTGCATGAGACGTGAGAGGATGTCATTCTTGTCAAAGTAGAAGCGTCTTAAATCCTCAAAGTAAGCTTTGAATTGCGCCACTAGAATCACGGCTTTGGAATAATTTTCGCAGTATTTCATGTACATAGAGCGCAAACGTCCTTGTGAATTAAGAAAGAGGCGCGGCACGTTGTCAGGCTGCTCATATGCTGCGCGTCTCAACTTCTCCACGAACTGGCTATGCCACTCGGTCATTTGAAGCCAGTTGCCCCATATCACTCGCCAGCGGATCGCTAGTTCCATCGGTGGTGTGGGTGGAGGTGGTGACGGTGACGACGGTGGCGGCGATGAAGAAGATGGATGTGGAACAACCGAGTGCTCAGAACGACAGCTCTCGCTGCGCGTGAGGCAAGGTGTTGGGGATAAAAGCGTCTGCGTGTCCACCACCGTCATGTAGGTGTCACGGACCAGCTGAAGTTGTTGAACGTAATTCTCCTCCGAATGAACAAGTTCCAGCAGTGGCTGCTGACGGTATTCCAGAAGTGCTTCTGGTGAACTCGACATAGAGGCGAATTCCCTAGGAGGACAAAGAAAGTTATCTAAGTGAAGTATTTGTCGTCGTCACTCTTTGTAGTGATGTATTTTCTGTTCACGAACGTTAATTCTGCACTTATTAAATGACATTTCTACCCTGTAGTTAGTCTAACGAAGACCCTTTTGATTCGCAAAAAGGAGAGTCTTCTTAGTAAATTTAGAGTGGCTTTGCTTTACTCCGGTAAAAAAACCACCGTAACTAACAGGTTTTAGTCTTTAATCACAAAAAAAGGATTAAGTTTGAACATGCTTGACAACGGTTGTTACGGCGGTTTCATGTGCAGTTTTTAAAACAATACAATCATTCATAGTTACTAAATTATTTTATTAATGCTAGGAAGTTGTCCTGTTTTACCTATTTCTCAAAACCATGCTAGAACTAATCCCGGCAGCAGGACTTAAGGGCAAAAAAGATGCGGTTTGGTTATATTTTAAAAAGAAGCTGATGGCATTGCTGTTTGTACTATTTCAAAAGTTCACTTAGAATAAATTTTAGCTGAGCCCTTTTCTTTAACACTTCAGGTCTCTAAAGCGAATTGACTGCTTGAACCGGGTAGTTTTTAGTTTGCGTTCATCTTTCCCCACAGACCAGGAATTTTTTATGTACGTGTGCATATGAACTGCATCAAAAAAATGCATTAAGAATGTGCCGCTTACTGCTGTCATTCGAAAGAAGAGATGCAAAGAAATTAAAAATATCCTGCTTTGTCTATTTTATTACATCTAGTGAACCATCACAATGGATTCACACAATGTACTTGTTCAAATAAAAAACGTCCTCTAAGCCGCATTACGCAAATCATTCATACCGTGACGCCCTTAAAAGTGGAATGAGAGGTTTTTAAATGGGCGAAGCTATTAAAATGCATTTAAACATAAACACATTTCAGCAGATCAGTGGGTAGTAAAACAGCAAGTTGTTTGGCCTCATTAGACTTTCACAATTTTCATTCAAATACGTATATTTGCTCTATGACATCCCACTAATTTAAGCTAAGTTTTCTTTCCAACATAAGTGCAAAATTCATGGGTGGGCAAACAATATAGCATGATTTACTACTTTGCAAGAGGATTTTGCTAGTAACAGATGACATTTAGGTACAAATCCAGTGCCAAGACATTTATCAATGCTAAACCATTCTCTTAAGCTAAAATATTATAGTTATGCATCGTAAATATTCAAACTTCTTGGGGTTATAAAAAGTGCTAAACATTACAGAATAGAACATTTGCAGTGAAAATCTCAATTTTACCTTAAACAAACTCCTGTAAAAAATCCATTAAGGCAAAACTTCTGTTAGACTAGGATTTGGCTATAATATTTCGAGCATATTTATCTTTTTGTCAATAAAGACCAAATTGTGAAAGGAACCAAAAAAAATTTGTGCTTTAGACGTCATTGATAACATTTCTGCACATAAAAAGATGGTATTTCTATGGTTCCTGTAAGTTAACTAAGGAATGATTCAGCCAGGAAAGTTTTCCTGGTTGATTTATTTTCTCGTCCAAGCCGATTATTCATCATTGTTCAGTAAGTCGTACGAAGGAATGCATGCACAATTGCTGCGCTACAAGCAACTGCTACGATGGTGCCAGCATGAAATGCGTCGGGAAAATGCTGTCCCGATTCGACGACTTGCTTAACAAACTCAGTACACCTTGCCTAAGACATACGTTATTTTCCCCTATTTAACCAAAGAGCGTCAGAGAGAATGAATCATTCTACTGGCCTGTACGGAAATGAAGTTAGACACAGGACATTAACATTTAGAAGAAAGGTCTAGACCAGATTCGATTATTAAGATCCCGCATCGACAATTCGAGTGTTCAAATACCAGTGAAAAAAATGCAAATTCTTAAACGAGATGATTGATGTGATTTACTCAGAAAAATTTGCCGCTTTGGGTAATGGTATGGCGAGAGAAAGTCGAAGGTGGTCAAGGAGATATAGTTTGTTTGTCTTGTTTCTTTACCAATAATTACCATTGAAGTTTTTAAAACCTAAGAGGTATTGCAAAGGAAAGAGCCAATAAAGGATCTCCTACACAAATTATGCAAATTTCCTACCTTTTATGGTTTTTTAATAACTTTAAGCAGTGTTATTGTTGCATGCATTATTATACAAAAAGGCCTTTTATTTTGAGCAAAGTGTTATTATTTTAGAGAGCAATAGCTTATGTTTCAACAATCAAAAGAAATTACATTTTCAAAGAAAAACTAGAAGTCCCTGATAAGTTACGGAAATTTAGCATCTATTGATGAAGCAAAAGCTTAAGCTTTAAGAAATTTGCAGCTTAAATTAAATAACATTATCAATATTGCCTATTTAGAGGGAATTATTCAGAAGATATGCAGAGGGATTGCGTCAATAAACTCTTAATTCAAGAATTAACAAATGATTATTCCAAAAAAAGAAGGTTGCTAAACTACATCAACTAAGCAACACTTAGCGGTATAGAGGTTCCTGAAGCTTTGTATCTAAAATTCTTTGAGAAATTTGCTGAATGAATTTGTAGAAAAAAATGGCGGATGCGACAAAATACAAAAAAACGATCACAAACGATGCTTAATGCAATTCACGGATGATTAATTGAAAACGCAAAAGAACCTTATTAAAAGGCACAAAGTTACTCCCGTATTTAAATTAGCTGACTTAAAGTGTGCATGCATGTAAAAGAATTCCACTTTATATCTAAAGGATCGGATTTGCAATACATGCTTTAAATGTGAATAAGTCAACAATAAACAGACTCGTGCATAGAAAATTGGGTAATTTGCAAAATTTTGAGGAATATGGACAAAGATGTGGCCAAACTTGGTGATTTACTCCTCCTTCATGACCTCATTTTAAAACTGCCATTAAGAAACAATAGCCTTAAAAATTGTAAATTTATTTATCTTTTAAGTTCTTAATATTAAAAGCAATGATTTTACCAAAGCTAAATGTACCTGAAATTTCTGCAAAAAACGACCTTGGGCTTTAAAATTTTGGTCAGCTGTCAAGGTCGAATACTTAGGGGCGCCGGATATATAAACAAAACCATGTTGTGAAAAGAAAGTCACAGAAATGTTTGCTAACTTTTTGAAAAAATAATCCTGTACAAAAAAATTGTTTTTTTTAATTTAATTTAAAATACTACTACATGTACATCGATACACTATCAACCTTCTTCTCATCATTCGCTACATTTCAAGTCATGCTTAGGTATTTAAAATTTTTTTCATACTGATTAACCTTAATGTCTTATTTACAATAAGATTAATGGATAGCCTGATTTTGCTTCAAATCATTGTTATCAATACCGGGCGCGAATAAATATACGGGTGTTCGAATAAAAAATAACTCTACTTTACAACTGATTTTAACTAATAGAAGAAGCATAATTCTAGTTAATACCCTTTTAACTGCAAGATACAGTTAATTGTTTTTTTTCTTACTTTTTTTCATTTCATACCCTTGGACCGAGCAAATTGTTTAGATAAAATCCGCCTTATGTTGGAATGCATCG